TATTAGAAATTTTTTGAGCTTTCTGTTCCTAACCAATGTGTAAGTGTAAGCTCTGACAAAGAGGCGCTTATCTTGTCCTGCACATGACATTTGTGATCTGCTGAATCTTGTTCCTGCAGCCAAGGACACAGCAACGTTTCACTCACCTACTTCAATCCCCAGCTTTTCACGTTTAGCCAAAGTCTTGTAGCTGGTTACCTTCTGAAATGAGCACCTACCATCATTTTTTTTTCTCCAGCTTTGCTTTCACTGACAATAGAGTAACACAAGAGCCATGTTAGCCTCCTTGAGTAACGCCTATGCATGGGGTCTGGCTGCAGGCTGAGCAGTAACCCAGCACTAGTAATGTAGTGGGAGTGTCTCAATGTGGCTCCTTGTCTCCCTCTTTTCCCCCTCCCCTCCCTTATTCTCCTCCATGATGCATAAATATAGTCACTTGATTTCAGAATTTTTTATAACACTGTGTTTTGTCTGAATTTTGACTTTATTTCCTGTTTCATTTCTGGCACACAAAGGTTTTGTTACACTGCTTTTGGTTGCTCTCTTTACATAAAGGGAGTAAAAATCTGTACACCACATTTAAATATATATTTCTGTAGTATAGACACCAGATAAAACAAAAAGGAGAACATGGATGCTCAAAAAATTCAGTAAATACACATAAGGGCTGTTATTAAAAGTATATTCATCCAGAATCATACCAGTCTCCCTGAGCATAGCTGGGTTCCCTTGTGCAGTACATGCAGTACTGTACCACTGTGGGAAAATACAGTGTGGAGGGAATTTCTTTGCTTATGATGGGAATAACATAATAAATACATCCTGAGATGGTCAGGATAGCTATTACTGTGCTGTGGCAAGCTTGGGCCTTTAAATGTCTAGCCATTTTTCTTTTTTAAAGGGCTCATTTTATATACGGTTCATCATTGTACCACTGACCTTTTCTCTTCTGACTTGCGCTGATGACATCATGGAAATGACAAGATTACCAGGAGCAATGGAAATATGTGCTTATCATTGTACAAATTAGCAAAGAGCTGGCAGCAACAGGAACATGATAGGCTGCTACATCTGCTTTGGTGCAGATGAGAAAGCCACATCCCAACCATCTAAAATCGACAATCAGAATTCAGTCAGAGACAAAACTCCTGTTTGTCCAGGAGCTTCTCTCAGTGCGGGAGCATCCAGATGAAAATGTCTGAATATTATCTATTACAACATGGAGTTAAACCTATTTTCCACTTTCAGTAGATAAATAGCACAGTTGCTTATCAATATCTCCTATTTTACATGTGGAGCTTAAGCATGTTTTCTGGACAGAATTTCAATAATTCCTTCCACATAACAACCTCCCCGCTCATTTTAATTCCCTTATTCAGTTTTACAGTTATAGTGAGCACTGACATGCTTCAACTGTATTTCAGGGTGGTTTTAAAATTCTCTTAAGAATATAGGGTTCTTGTACTATCGCTTGAAATGCTTTAATGTTCCCAAGATGTTAGCCTTCATTCAGTATAGAAATATTATTAGGTTTGTAGCAAAGCTTAACTAGTAGATTCATACTCATAGTAAAAGTTAAGCATGGTCTTAGTACCATACTGAATTGGGGTCTTGGAAACATAACTCTGCCTGCTGATTACTAGGATAGTGCTGTAGAGTGAATAAAATACTTAAATGGATGTCAACTAGGTAAGAGATATGGATGATCACATAGAACACAATACTTGTGTAATCATACCCTGGCTATGAAGAGAATGAAGAGGATATTTTGAGTTGTGCTACTTAGGTGATCTGCCAGTCCAGCAGACCTCCTCTGGCTTCTATCCCGATCACCATTTCCTCTCCTCCCCCCCAAAAAAAAACCCAAACAGAAAACAAGAAAAACAAATCTGGATGCTGTTTTCTGTTTACAAGTTTGTTTTCTGTGCATTATCAGAAGTTGCAGGTGACTACGGAGTAGATGAGGTGAGGATTAGACTGCAGTAGGTCAGTCCAGGGCCGCTCAGGTGCAGCAGATGTTGTGATGACTGCAGGTATAAAAGGAGATTTTGGTTTCAGTAGTAACATTGCATGGTTTTTTGCGGTGGTTTCACTATACCTGCGGAGAATGTTTGCTTTTTACCATTCACAAACAGGTAAATGTCTCTGTAAGAAAAGGCTTTTCCTTTATGCTCAAGAATAAAATGGTTTTTATATACCTCCAGTCCCAGATTGAGGGAAGAAGTGAAGGCACAATCAAATATACAGAGAGAAAAATATTTCCCTGGGAAGGTCACAGTGCACTAATAAAGAATGTCCTTCAATAATCATTGTGATTTTAAGGAGAGTAATTATTTAGTATCATCTTCCTTTGCTTTGTCAGGATTTCCTTTAGTGTTCTTTTTTCCTGCGTTCCCACTACTCCTGTGGATCATGCACATGGTGTTAGTGAGACTGAACAAGCTGTACTGGGTAGCCCGGTGCTCTATGTCTTTATCAACAGAAAAAGATGGCAGAACAGCATCTGTTTCCCTGACTGCAGGCATTCTGGTACTTTATCTGTATGTTTGTAGCTGGAGGCTATACTAGATCTCTTTGCTCTTGTGGTTTGGTAATTCTAGTAGCAGGTAGCTTTGGCAGCATTTCATATCTGTAATTGTATCCGTGACTGTCCCTCAGTGAAGTGGATGTGCTCATTTCTATCCATGATTCTTTTATCCTAATTGAGTAACTGGAGCTCACTAATGTCTGACATGACTCAAAGTACACACTAGGTGATGGCCCTCATACTACTGTGCCACGTCATGGTTTTCCTACTGCTTCTAGATCTCCCTGTGGGTAGCAAAAGAAACCTATAGGCTCCCTGCCCAGGTTGGCACCTCCCTGGGAAGTGGCTCTATGCATTTACTCAAATTAATTGGCATATACAGAGAGAGACAGAGGAAGAGGTTTGTGGAGAGATACCAGCTTTAATGCAGGCAGGCTCATCTTTCTCTGCAGTCAGTGAAAAGGGAAAGGTCTCCTCTGTATACAGCTCCTGGTTTTCAGATTATTAAGTGACTACTCCAGGCATCACGATTCCCTTTAAGTTTTCAATTTTTTTTTAGCAGGCAGTTAAAAATTAGCTAACTATGACTCTGTAATAAACAATGAATATCAGCAGTGTTAGACCAAACAGGGAATTACCAAAAATCATCAGAGTACTGCAGTTAAATGCAAGGTAATCCCCAAATTCACCAATATATGCAAGTCAGTAAGTTTCAGAAAATGTGTCCAAATCCCTGGCCCACTTCCAACTTTCTGAACTCAGTCAAATTTGCTGTTGGTTAAAGAGCTTAGAACAGTAAGTGGAAAATTTAATGCAGAGCACTTCAGCCTTTCATTCTCCATCTGACAGGAGATGCTTCCGTTTGGGCTCTTCATTTGTCTCAGAAAAGTGTGGATGTGAGTCTCTTCCCATCACACCCCATACAGGCAGTCTCAACAGTCTCCTCTTCCAGTATAACAGGCTTTTGGAAATCCCTCGCTGTATTTATGTCTTGTAAAGATCCTATTGCACTGTCAGCACTTAGCACCAGATAATAATTCTGAAGGTAGACACTCCCATCACAGACCACAAGTTACTTCTGTTGATTTCAAATACAATGCTGCTTTTCCATCCATTCCATTCAGGAAAGATTTTGGCTTAGTCACCCTCACTATATACATCATTTGAGTAATACAAGAAAAGTAACACACTGGAGGAAACTCCTAGACAGAGGCAATGCTACTTTATACTAATTCCTAGAATGGGGGAAAAAGAAAAAAAGAAGGACTTTTTTTTCTTTGAACGTGAGATATTAATTCCAATGAAGTTATGGGAGTATTGTTGCTGCCTTAGATACGGCTGGGAGATAATAAGTCTTTCTCTTCAATTTGTAAGTCCTTTGAGTACCTGGTTATTAGTTATTGGCCCTCATTAACGGCAGGTAACTAATAGTTAAGTCTTAACCTCAAATTAACTGTATAGAAAATAAAAAAATTTCAGTTAAAAAGAGTGTCTCCAAGTTTAGTTTTATCTGGTTCCTTCACCATAATCAGAAGAAACAGAAAAATATATATGGAGTGAGCACAGACACCACACTACCAGTGTGTCTGGCAAGGAGAGCATATTTTAGAACTTCACACACAGCTTGCTTTTGAAGCAATCTGAGACTAACAGTGGGGAAGAGGTGTTAGAAGGGATTCTTTATATGTTACCAACAAAAAGGCTGTTATTAATGCAGTAGCAGAATCTTAAGTTACAGGCAGACATGAGACATGGCTGCTCATAGCAGGACCCAGATGCAAAGCTAGAAAAGATACATAATGCTTCCCATAGCAGCATCTGGCTTTTTGGCAGAGTCTACACACTTGGGCATTGACAACTCTGGATTTGCTTTGTAGTCTTTCAAACAGTTGGATTGCAGCGGCCCTGGGCAAAACTGCAGAACCTTTTCCTCCATAGCACATCATTTTACATAGCATTTTACAAAAGAATTACCACCGAAAATGAACATAGTCTGTGCAATTAGTCTGATAATTAAGACTTAAGTACTGGACAGAGATCAAAGTGCTTGTAATCTGCAATAAAGTTCCTAGAGTTGTAAGGATTTTCAAAATGTTAGCTTGTGCTTTATTGCACCTTCCATTTATTGTGTACCCATGATAGCAGCAAACACATTTTCCCAGTGGATATCAGCATGTATAACTGCAACACCTGTTACTACATAAGCCTGGTGTTTCTCACAATATGATTACTCTGTCAACGACTGCCATAAAAGGTGGCATCTGTATTCATCAAAAAGAGTTATCAATAAATGTAAAGCCATACCACAATTAGAGATCTCCAAGGAAGAACAAATCCAACAAAAAAAAGTCAACGACACTATTTAATTACTAAGATTGTTAATCAATAAAATGTCTTCATAACTTTTAATTAAATTTTTATTTGAACTGAATGTTTAGAGAATCTGATTCTTTGTTTTTGTTTCATTTAACAGTTGCACTACTAAAGTACTGGTGACATCTGTGAACAACCATCCTCATGGGGACACTTCATGTCTGTAAGTGCATTTTGTCACCTACAGAGGGTGTTAAGAATCTTGTTAAAAATAAAGGAAATAGTTAGGAGACATCTCACTGTAGCCATTATTATAGTGCAAATTACCAGGTAGAGTAATCCAGAAGCTGTCAGGAAAGGTTAGTAAGAAACAGTGTCAGGAAATCAACCATTCAGCAATTCATCACGGTCTAACACTAGCTCTAAAATGAAAGCTTTTAAAAGGCATTGTTTTATGAAGTAAGGGATATTATCTTTCTTTCTTTTTTTTTTTTTTTTTTGCAGTGAATAAAGATAACTAGCTGAGTGGTTCTCTCATGAAAGACATAATGATGGAAAATGTCAATTATTTTATCGCACAAATCTGCAGGTGAGGTAAAAAACAGAGAGAGGTTGCTTCAGTTGAAGGAACCCATTGCAATATAATACCTCCCCTTTATTTTCGTTTTAATTTTGGAATATACGGTCTGATTTTTGCAATCCTTATTAAAAAAAAAATGACAGGCTTTCTAGATTACCAGACCCATCCCTAGAGGCTCTCTAAGGTGTCATGAAAATACAAAATTTGCCTTACAGGAAGTTTTTACGTGTGCAGACTTGATACTGATTGTAACAAAGATTGCCATTGTTCTGTTAAGGCATATTGGAAGAGTTTGTTGCCATTTTTTCTTGTAGGGAAATAAAGGTTATCTGCCTCTTCCTTTGACTTCCAGGTTTAGCTAGTGAGTGAGTGCCTTCTGATGTTGACTATCGATAATGATTTTCCACTGCTGCAGTGCCACTGAAGTGGCCATAACTGTTCTCCGGTATAACATTCTGTTTTCATAGTGCACTGTCTGAGGAACACCATTGCTTCTGGTTTGGAGTTCATTGCCTTGCCTTCATAACCATGTCAGAGCACTGGACAGAAAAGTTGGTCTTTTATAAACAGCTAAAATTGTACATCGGGTGGTGCTGGGGTGGAACCAAATACAAAAACCCGCCAAACCACCAAAAGACTGAGCCAGTCAAGAAAGAATAGTTTGCATAGTAGTGTTTTCTTGGTTAATTCTGGTGAAGTGGAAGGAAGGCAGTACAGTTTGCATAAAATTTTCTTTTGCGAAGAGAAAAAGTAAACAAACATCTGCTGTAAACCTGTTGGTTAGGTGCCAGCATCCCCACAGGTCTAAAATAGCTTTTTAATACTTAAGAACCAGAAATATGGCATGAAAGAAAGTGACCCAAAACCTGTCCTTGTATTCCATATGAAAATTTCCCAAGAACTACCAGTAACCAGGGATTGCATTGGTGTAATAAATAAATAAATGTTAAAAGACAGTTGTCTCGGATTGAGGGCACCCCATAAGTTTAAGTGATCGCTGGAAGAGCTATGAAGATGATAAACAGAAATAGCAAAGAGGAGAAGACTGTATAAGATGGCAAGTTCAAGAACATCACACTTTACTGAAGTCTCAGAGAGCTCTTGGTGTGCTATACAGCCTATGTAAAACTATGAAGAAGACTAACACAATTACCGATTAATAATTTTTTAATGGGGCTGATTGATGATTAGATGGCAGAAAGTTTAATCACAAGCACAAACTCACATCAAGTTTGCACTGATGATAAAGGGTTATATTTATATCCAGCCTTAATGTGCTACCAAGGGCTAGTCTTCATTTGCAATGTTAGTGATATTTTCTGAAGACTTGTCAGAATGGAGCACTCACTTTTCATGGATATAAAAATACCCTTATGAACAGATAATAGCATCAATCACTTTTAGTATTTGGATGTCAGATATGTATGAAAAACCTGCTAACTACCTTCAATAAAGAACTTTAAAAATTACTCCTCAAAATATATATATATTAATTCACAGTAGAACAGATTAAGAGAACGCTCCTTCCATGACACATTGGATAAGAATCTGTCTTGTTGCAATGCTAAAAATTCTCAATCCATCTCTTAAATGCAGATTCAGGGCACCATCTCATATTTCCTTGTCAAATAAATTATGCCTTATATCAAAGACCACACAGATTCCTACTTAACAAAACAGGGGCATCTGAACATATCGTAAATGTGAAATATGAAAGAGAACAAAATGAGACAGCCAATAAAATGTAGATTTGTAAGTCAGATAGTATATACCTTAGAAATACTGTTACCAGTACTCAGAATTTGTGACTAAAGAAATATTCATAATTTGTTGCTAATTTTCCACACTGATTGAAACTTTCTTATAATACAAACCAGAAAAAAATCTGAGGGAAATTAAAAGAAGAAAAGTAGCAGATGAAATTGTGTTTAAATGTACATGCTTCTATATTTGCGTATAGAAAAAGATATTTATCTTTATTTCTCTCTTTTTTCAATTAAGAACTAATCTGGGAAAAGGATACATATTATCAAAGGATGAAGTTTGAAGATATGCTATTATTGAGAATAGTCAAACGTAAAACCATAAATAGAAATTGTCTATGGCTGTCATAATATGTGTCTGGGCAATAAAATGGTAGCTGAGGTTCATGTCCATAAGGGCAAAAAGAAGTATGAAGAAATCAACTCTAAGCAAACTACTGCTACTCAAGGATGAGATCTTGGATTGGGTTGCTTTATAAAACCATTAATTTGGTATTCCTTAGTTTTCATAAAGCAAACTATGACAAGAATAATTTGGAAAGAACTTTCAAAGAAAATACTGAACTGATTAGACCTCTGATATTGTTCTAGTCAGAGTATAGTAGAAAGTTACTCCACAACTTGTCTCTAATCATCATAAAAATACATTAATAATGTGTGCTTTCCTTCTAGAATGAATGTTTCTCCTTTTGCTTCCCTGTATTAGGAGCTCAGCATACTGAAGCAGCTTTCCCAGATGAAGACTCCAAAGAATCTCTGGCTAAACAAGAGAGTTAGCTAGAAGGTAGGAATTCTAAAGTATGTAAGTAATTAGATAATTATTTTTTTAGTGGTTTAGTTAATACGCTGTACTTCATGGACAACTGGCTCCTGCCAATAGACTTTCACACTGATATTGCAACTAGATTATGGTATGCCTTGCTTTCTGATTCAAAATGAAGTTTTGTGGTATATAACTGAACAACAGCTCATTCATACAAACCAATAAACATCCTCCAAATCTCATTTTTAATCTTTATATGGGTAGACAGATATACTTATTCTCTAGGAACTCACTTGTATCAGCAATGATCACAAGCTGCTATTAATCCCTGCATTGATCTGATATTACCTGGCCTCCTGGATAAAAGAGGCAGCAGAAATTCAACTCATGGTCCATGCATCAAGCTTTTAAGTTCTTGGTGAGGTAGCCTGCTTCTTCAGACTGACATTAAGCTTGATGTAAAATCTTCAGATGAAGATGAATCTGCCATGTGGAAATATTTCCCGTGTGTAAGTACCCTGTGTGTAAGCACTTTATTCTCACTCTATGCTTCGCTGTTGTTCCTCCAGTCATTAGATATTCCTGTACTTGTGTCTGTTTATAGGTATCACATGCCTTCATCTGTAGATAATTATGGACCATGAGCAAATTATGTCTTAATTAACTGTGGATGAACTAAACAGATTGAGTTTATTCCAAATCTCTGTTGAAAGCTAGGTTCCCACTTCTCAGGGTTTTTCTTTCTCAGAGGTTTTCTGATATGTCAACATACTTTCAAAGGGTGGGTGCATCCCACGCCGAATACCCTGCCTCAGAAATAGATTTGATTTCACTTGTATGATCGTTATTATCATTTTTCCCAGTATTTCCATCTACATCTTAAGAATCACATTAGGTCTTTCTATGTCATTCTATGACATCTTTTCCAGCTGCTTTTCAGCCATGACTTCCAAATCTTCGTAGCCCCTACTTTCCAAGCATCATCGTTTTCCATCCTTCTAACAGCTGGTGCATTACCCACAGCTCTTCATTATTTCCTTTGTTTCGCTTTTCCCTTACCTCTTATACCCAAGTAAATATTATGTAAAAAGAGAAAACACCCAACCCTTCCTGCAAATTAAAATAAATCAATATGTGAATGTATGATATCTGCCCTTAGTTGTTGAAATGTAATCACAATTTCTATCTCTCTTCACCACTACAACAATGTCTTCCAGTCGAGAAGGTAGTGTGATACAAGGAATATATCATGAGATGGAAAAAATGCTTCATTTCTTAATTACGCTGGGAGTTTTTTCTGTTTTGACACTTTCCCTCACGTTTCCCTCACATTTTATACTAACCAGATGAGCAATCACAGCATACATGTATTTGCAAACATGAAAGAAGCATGTGAATGATAGTGGTGGTGGGAATAGAAAGGAGATGGCAGCTCATGACTTAGGTTCATTAACCAAAAGTGTTTGAGCTCATGTCCATGCGATCTTGCAGAATGAAGGTCTCTTTTGGCACCCTGACCTGACTTTACTATAAGGTTCATGTAAGAAATGGGTGATTTGTTTTTCCCCTAATTTGAGATCAGACAACAATGATGACGATTTTACCACCTTTGGATAATATTCTTAAATTAATAGCAGTAATATCATGTCTCATATTCAGGAGAATGAATGAATGAATAAACAAAATTGGCTAAATTGTTCAACAGTGTGCTACACCATCCTGGTATTTTCAATCATATCAAAGTCAAAAATTGTTGCTCAAAGAGGCAGCAATGTATGCACCTACATGGTGGAGATGAAAGTGGTGGGTATATGAGTATGTAACTTCCAATTTAGTTCATGGTATAATGCACATGTACAATTTTAGGAGCTGTCTGTCTGCTGTTCAGTCAGCTGCAGCTGACTACAGGAAGGAGGAAAACACCATGCTCCTTCTCAGAGGCTTCATTTCTGCTCTTTCACTTTATCGTTAATCTGGAGTTACAATCCTTCAGCTAACTGTGAGAGGTGTTTTTCCTCTGTGGGGAGAAATATGACTGAAATCATAAAAATCTTACTGTGACTCTGAAAGATCCATCTCATCGGCTGCAAGTGTAGTAAAGCTGGTAAAGGAGAACACATATGTAAAAGGAATTTTTCTCCAGCTGTATAAAATATCACTTCAAATAACATCTTCCGTATTCAGCTACCAGTAAAACTCGGAAAGCATATTCTCTCTCTCTGTCTCTGTGACCATTTTTACAAGAGAAAGCATGAAGCTAAGATATTTTACATGCTCACAGCTGTTCAGGAAAGATGAGAAGCTGAAAGCCATGACAAAATCCTCAGCATGCTGATTGCACCATGTTTTACCTACCACTTCCATTAAGAAGAACATCTCCCATTCGTGAAACCATTGGAGGCGTTAGGGAAAATACAGAGGGTCAGAATAGAGACTGTAACACTTGGGAGGAAATCTGTCCATTTTTTGTTTTTAAAACAGAGTTGAAACCCCTCAGTATCAGTTACCAATATTCGTTTGTGTAGTAGTACAATCCCTTTCATTAATGCCAGGGTAGTTCAATGGGCACTGAGGTGTCCCAGCAGACATGACTGGAGTTTCCATTTCTTTCCGTGCTCTTCCATGGCTTTAACAAGGGGAAGGTACTTAAGACTGCTCATTTGATTTTGCAGCAAGGATAGTAATCCCCTCTTTCTGCCTATCCTTTGATGGCAAAATGTCATATTAATGCTGATCATTCCATTAAAGTCTTAACTACAGAAATAACAGAGAAATTAGAAAAGTAAACTAAATACTTTCTCTTTTATTTAATCCGATTTACTCCTTCTTACAACATATGTTTGGTCATCCTGGTATATGGGTGAAGAAGAATGAATTTCCCAAAAATGTGCTGAAATCTAGGCCAGAACTACCCCAATGGAGGACCTAGCTAAGCAAAAGACTACAGTCTTCCATGGCATCCTCTCTTTCTTTCAGTTTTCTAAGTCCTTTAAAAAGCTGAGCATGAGATATGAACATGTAAAGGGATACCAAGAAAGTGGGTATTTTTCTTGCTCAGTAAGCCTGGATAAAAGTATACATTTAGAGTTAGAAATCTTTTTGTTTGTTTGTTTGTTTTTCCTATTTTAGTCTATGTTTCTTTCCAAAGATTGCAAGTGAAAAATAATGTAATATGGACTTTCCCACATATGATGCTGAATTTTAGAATAGTAGGAGTAGGAATGGAATATTTGGATCATCCCTGCTGTTGCTTCTGAATCCTGACTACTGCTGTTCGCTTCCTTATCATTAATAAAAGATAAAGGAGATGACACAGAGACCGTGGTGAGAAACAGCAAGTCTGTTTTGGCACAAATTTCCCGGAATAATTCTCTTTCTGTACTGATGCTAAGGTATCACATAGGGAGGTTTTCTATTGGCTGAGTGTGCGCCAAAGAAAGTTAATGAAGGTGATGGCTGAGTTAGTAATTCCTCTTCAGAAGAGCTCTAGGAGTGTGCACCACTTGGGTTTTTTTGGATTGCTATATACAGTACCACCATGATAGACATTGATTATCTGGATTGCTGAAGAGTAACTAACATTATAGGTCTGCCACATTCTTGCACGGTGAAGTATGAGCGCACTCAGCAGTGCAAGACATTCACATGCTCCCTTTGCCTCTACCAGTGTGTGGGAAACTTAAAATTGTGAAGAGAATAAGGAGGAAAAATTATAAGACTGAGGATTTGCTGAGTATTAATAAAAGGTATCTGTGTCCTATTTCTACCCAGAGATCTTGAAGGGACAAGATGGACCTATATGATCCAGTGATACTAAGAATCAGATTTACAAAGCTGAATGCCTAACTCTTCGGGGCTTTTCTGAAAATTCCAGATCAAGGAAAAGGTGCAGTTTCCATTTCTTAGTGTCTCTGTGAAGAACACACGCATGGTTCCTTGCCTGACTTGATGATCAGTGAAATTTGGACATACACACAGTCCAGCACAGTGGAATATTTATCAATAAAATAGGTTAGCACTATTTAAATTTTAAGCAGTCATGCCCAAAAATATATCAGAAGACTCTCACAGACTATTACAGTCTACTGAACTAATCACTTCCTAATTAAATTTTCCATAGCTTGTCTTTGGAAAACTACCCAGAAGCATCCTTTGGCATTTAAGGCATTTTTTTGTTTTTCTCATAGGGGAAATACATGAGATTTTAATAAATTTAATATCAAGTAAATAATCAAACAATAAATTTTATATAGAGTGGAGATTCCCAAGAGCAGAAATTGCAAAGGAGCTTTCTCATGTTACTCAACCTTACTGTTACAGAGCTGTTTCCACAACATTTTGTGTTAGTTTGGATTTTTCTGTATATTGACAATTGATGACATTAGGTTTGTTACCCAAGTTCAGTATTGTAAGTGGTTTAAAATCTGTGACATTTTAGCTGTGTTTAGCAGTAGTGATACATTAAAGAAACTCCATCATCAGTGGATTCACTGTAGATCACTGTCCCCATAGTCTTAAAGGACAGTGAGCCACAAAACTAATAATAATTAGGACTCCTAGCCGAGGTGAAAAGCTATTGCCTCATGGAACTATTTTCCAATCATCCTCCTTCCAGCTGAGCTGGACTAGTGACACTATAAACTGGCAATTAAAAGACCCAGGTTTAAAAATACCTTCAGCTTCCCAGGTCCCACAATGGCAAAGGTTAAGTGGATTATGTGGAGATAATTCACTCAGCTCCAGGGGGAGGGTGCTGATTGCCAGAGATGTTGGTTACCTCCCTCTCCCCTCCTCACTTGCTGAACCACTGATTGTTACAGTAGTGTCAGCTTTGCCAGCCTAAGACAAGGGGATGAGAAAAGGCCTGCAAAACTTTCCCAAAGGAGCCTGCAATTATTAATGGGCACTGAGTGGTACTTGCAAATTTTACTTTGATATAGCCTTGAAAGCTGAGCACAGAAGTTGTCCCTACTCCTCAGCTAAC